CTAGGACCCTTTCAGCCGCAGTAGGTTCTCCAAAATAATGTGAAGTTCCAACTTACAGAATAAGTACCGTGAGGTGGTTAGCATCGGCAGCTACATCTCTACATCTCTAGATTTTTCTGGTAGGTATTAATGTAGCAAACACCACATGGCCTACGTACAGCGTATTGATATAAGCTTGCACACTACACATGATGTGCAAGCTTCACTTACATGATTGACACTTTTTCCATTCCTATAAAAAAGTGACTACTAGTCTCGAGAGTACTTCTGTCCCACTCCCTAGACCTCTGATACCACTAAGATTAGGTTCTGCATATGCCTATCTACCTATTCATATCATTTCATGAAAATGAGAACATATATTATGATTTTTTTGTGATTTGCTTATTTTGTTCAGTATAATGCCAAGTACATCACATTAAAGGATGTTTTGGGAACTCATTTTCTTTTATTTTTAAAAATTCTTTTGTCTTGTGGAGTATCACACACATAGGGGGAAACATGCCCAACACAGCTGCACCGTCCACTTCACGGTAACACGGACAGCATTTCAAAACACATACACACATAAGTGCACCTATCTTTCCTCGTATCCCCTGCCTTCTCCTCCTCCCACCCCACTACTAACCTCATGGTAGCTTTCAAGGTCTGTTTCTTTTGGTGTAAAAATTATTTTCTTAGTATTTTTTCTACTAGTGGTGTCATGCATTAGTTGTCTTTATGAGATACTAAATTACTGACCATGCTGCTGGTGTTAGGACGTGTCAGGCCGCTTCCGCCCCGAGTGACCCTGTGCACAAAAGAAGGGAACACTGCCCAGCCCTGCGCCATCCTCACAAATGTCCCGATGCCCGAGTCATTGTTGCAGCCACTGTGTCCATCTAGCTCATTGAGGACCTTCCTCTTGTAGTGGTTACATAAGTTCATGTCAACTTGATAAAGTGTAGGGTGTCTGTCAATCAGGTCACAGCTTGATGACCTCATTTGGAGGTACGGCTGAGGTAAGTGGCTCACTGGAAGCTGGCCCCTTTCTCTCTCTGCTTCACCTTCCATTTGGTGAGCCACACGACTGAGACCTGCCAGAGCCCTGTGATGGTTCCACCGTGATTGGGTCCACCCACCAGCCTGTGATCTTCCTGCATTCTCCATCACTGCATGTAGCTGCATTAGTCTGAAGAGGGACTTATGGGCTAGTATCAGACTTGTGGACTTGATTTGGACTTGGCTGGGGTGTTTTCTTGATATAAAGCTCTTTCTTTCACATATATGAGTGTCAATGAATTTGTTTCTCTAGTCAACCCAGCCTAACACACCTCTCTTCCATGGCCCCTCCACTTTACCAAGCATGATGTCCTTCTCCAGGGGCTGGTTTCTCCTGACAACATGTCCAAAGAATGTAAAAAGAGGTTTTCCCTTCCTTACCTCTAAGGAGAATTCTGGCTGTATTTCTTCCAGCACATATTTGTTTGTCATTGTGACAGTCCATGGTACTTTCAACATTCTTCACT